AACCTAACAAAGGCAGCCATATCAAGAATATGTAACGCTGAAAGTTCAACATCATCAATCCTTGAAAATCTTGATGAATCTTTGAAACGACATGCAAAATCTGGCAAACATTCTGATCCATCTAAAGAGAGGGATCTACATGAGCTAATCAAAAGAGCAGAGGAAATGAATGTCTTTGAAGAAACGGTGGGACGTTCTTATAATCATTTCTGTGACTTAAAGCGAGACAGGTTGGAAGATTTGGATGCCTCAAAATTATATCACTGGATAAACAAACACAAGAGCAACATGGTCAGGGGTATCAGAGGTAGATAAACAGAGTAAACAAAACATTTTCTTTGTTGTTGCCTCATGGGAAATTTAATTCTGTAGTCCATAGCTTTTGATAATTTACACTGTCTATTTAGTATGCCATTGCAGTGTTAAGTAGTCTACGAATAGTCTGGAACAACACAAATGTACGATATGTGAGAGCCTAGTGACAAGTTTGTGCCAATGATGACAAATTGTTACAGCCAAAAAATGTCAAAACAGGACGCAGAAAAAGTCTGTTGGCCCAGATCTTAACCCAAGAAGTACCCAGGTGCTGCAACTACTGATATAAATGAAGTTGATATCAATGTCTTTATACAAATCTGATCACTTAAAAAGTCTGAAAGATTTGCAATCTTACTGAAGTGACTAATAGCAGTCTAAAATTTTTGCTCAATATGCAAGCAGAATACAATTTGATACTGGCAGCAGCACCAATGAAGAGATTCAATTTTCACAGAATCAATTAATCAATATAACCAACAGAATCTTTCATAGCATTCTTAATCAAACATCAGACCATTATCATAAATTATTTTTCTCTATTACATGTACATGTATACAGTTATTTCTTCACAAGTGAAATGTAACTAATCTCAAACAGATGTTCCATCTTTTGTGACCTCACATGACAAAACTTTCAATTGCTATGATAGAATATGAATAGCACACAATTTAAGTCACTGATCAGAAAATGAAATTTACCAGTAGATGAATTTATTAAATCACTTATTTTCTTACCACAATGCAGTAGGAGGGCCAAAGAAGCTGTACTGTTCTCCCCAACCCCTCCCCCACAGTGATTTTCACCACTCTGTGTTCTTTTTTTATTGCCTAACTTTTTTGCCCTGCCCTTTGGTCCTCTTTCTTTAAGTCCTTAATCTGCCTCTGCCCAGTACATGATACAGTTAAGTCAAACACGTTAATGTTACTAATTAGTATTCAGTGATCCAATGCCATATTCTCAACAGTTGCCAATACTACTGGTGGCATTACATCATCATCGCATGAATCATTGGCATTTTCCTCTTCGT